CTGATTATTCTTCCATTAGCTCTTTACAGCCCTTGGGCTACAAAAACAAGCTACTCATCGATCACAAATGGAGCATACAGCCTTTTGGTCACAATCTCAGGACGTGGAGTCAGCCGACAAAGATCTGTATCCCATTTCCAAGGTTAGTTGGCTGACTAATACCAGCAAACTACTCCATAAGGACTATGTTAGCTAATGCGTGCAGCTGGCACACAGAAAATGCTGTGTTGGCCATCACCACTATCGATACTAACAGTAGTGTTACTACTGCGAGGATGGGTACAATTGCGAAGAATCCTTTAGTGATGGCAATGATGTCATAGATGGTAAGTCAAAATGTTTATTTCCAGAAAGTGCTAGTCTGGGGCAGGGGTTTGGCACAGTAGTTAAGGCTCCCTGTTTTTTTTTTTTTTTGGGGGGGGGGGATGGAGGAGACTAGCTGGCACTGTAGCACAGTGGGTTAAGCCGCAGCCTGCAGCAGCGGCATCCCATAGGGGTGCTGGGTGTGGGTCCATATGGGTGTGGGTCCCAGCTGCTCCACTTCTAATTCAGCTCCTTGCTAACGTGTTTGGGAACACAGTAGAAGATTGTTCAAGTCCCTGGATTCCTGCACCCTTGTGGGAGACCTGGAAGAAGCTCCTGGCTTTAGCCTGGCCAAGCCCTGGTCAGTGGGGCCATCTGGGAAGCATACCAGCAGATGGAAGACCTCTCTCTCTCTCTTCCACTGTCTCCATAACTCTGCCCATCAAATAAATAAATAAATCTTAAAACAAAACCAAAGACCCTGCTTGGGACGGCTGTATCTCCTATCAGAGTGCCTGGTTTGGAGTTTCCAGCTGTGCTCCCAGTTCTAACTTCCTGTTAAGGGGGCACCTTGGGAAGCAGCAGGTGATATAGCTTAAGTGGTTGAGTTCCTAACACCCATGTGGGAGACATGGATGGCATTCCTGGCTCCTGGATTTGGGCTGGCCCAGCACCAACTGTTGCAGACATTTGGGGAGTGACCCAGTAGAAGGTCTCTCTCTTGGTATGTATGTGTCTGCTTTCCAATGAAGATAAAATTAATTTAAAAATAAATGCTAGTACTAAAGGAGGCAGCCCTAGACTGAGGCTCTCGGCTGTACTGCCAGCCAGGTATGTCCTCACAGGGCATGGTACCAGTAGCCAGGGCCTTAGAGCTGGCGCCTGTCACTGTCTAGACAGCAATCTCTCCGAACCTCACCTGTAGAGGGGAAGATACCCACCTACTTCAGAGAGCTGTTTTAAGGATGAAAGAAATCACGAATGAAAACCAGTTATCACTGCACCTGGCTACTGAATTTGTTTATCTTGGTTAGCACTGCCTACCTATAAGATCTGTTCTAAATGTGTCTTAGAAGCCCATCGTTGCAATGAGCCATTACAGAGTAGGGGGAGCTATCTGTACACATCTGCACCTAGTAAAGACTTGGAAAATCTAAACAGAAAGCTGAATTTGTCTAGGACCCTTTCGTTATTAGCCACTTTGTTGCATTCCTTATCAAATTAATATGTTCAATGGTGGATTTTGAATTTTAAGTATGGTACATCCAAATTTATTAGAACTAACTCTAGCTGTAGCCCTAACCCTAACTCTAGCCCTATTTTACATGACTTTAGTTTTCCCACCATTCAACAAAAATATCTGTACAGTAAAATTAAAGTCTAAGTATTCACAAAAAGTCAAAGCCAAAGAAACCATCCACATTCTACACATTTTTTCAGCATAACCTTAGTCTTGAAGTACCATTACACTGGTGGCAAGAACAGCTTGTGTTTGCCCAGTAAAGCACCCATTACATAATTTGAGAGGCTGGTCCTTGAGACACTGTCAAATTCCTTAAATAATTTTGTCAGTTCTTCCCCTTTCCAATTAGTCAACCACCATTTTTTTTTTTTTCTCTAGCACAAGAACCATCCTTCAGGTCCTCACATTTGCACTAAAACCAACTACATACCCTATTCACAGTCTGCTTTGTATTCATCTGTACATGCTCAATTCATTTGTATTTAATTGCAAAATGAGTGCTCATAGCATTGGCATATGAGAAGCAGCATCAGCAATTGAGACTGAGGTCATAGCAAGATAATTTCATAACAGTGATACAGTGGCTGGGAGTATCAGATAGACGGCATTTAATAGCATCGAACAAGCCAAAAATAACCACCTATGTGATAGAGGGTATTATTACCAGCTAGAATTCACATTTTACTCTAAGAGCGAGTAACTCAGTTGCGAGGGAGGACGTGACTCTGCACAAGCACTGAGCCTCCCTGGCAGACTGCGCTCATCTGGCATCTCCACCACCAGGTGGGCTCCACAAGAGTGGGGACTTTGCTGCCTCTGCCGCTGAGTCGCTAACACCTTTACCTGGGGCAGCCAAAGGAGGGGCTCAAAAGGTCCTTGTGGAATGAAGTTCAATTTCTCCCAGCCCCGAACTCAAAGCCCCTGGAATATAATTATTTTCCCAAAGGGCCCAAGGCGGTTGATTGCCACCAGGGCCTTTGAAGTCATGTGTTGGGTCTGATCTGATTTCTTTAAAGATCAAAGGCCAAATCCAGTTGAACCATTCAGATGCCAGGATTGGGTAGGCCCTGACTTTACCAAAACATTCACCAGTGTCATCTACTGCCTTATAGACTCCAGGCTCATCATCTCTGGAACGTTCTGCCTGGTTCTTTCCCAGGCTGACATTCCACTTCTCAGGTGAAGGGGCACCTCCTCAAGGCAGCCCCTGCCCTGTGCCCTTGCTCACTCTAGTCTTCCTCACTGCACAAGGAACTTGTAGGGAGTAGTTATTTATTTCCTATCCATCTCCCACTTAAACCCCACAATGCAGGGACTGTGGCTGTTGGGCTGCAGGGAGACTCTTCTGTCCAGACCGTTGCATGTGCAGGTGCACAGCCAGACCTAACAGAATGTAGTGAACAGACCCTACCAGGGTTTCCAAGTGCTGAGCCCAACAAACACTAAGAACCCCACAAAGATAGAGAGAGTATTCTGAGCCCTCACAGGCTCACAGCTGGAGAGCACAGTTATCATGAGGGGGATACCACTGTCTTTTTTTAACTAAACAGTTTTTTTGCTGTTGTGATAAAAAAAAATTCTATAGTCTTATAGCCAGGACAACTAAAGTCGTCTTGGGGCTTTTGCTTTCCATTGTCTTGGAGCACAGGCAGAGGAAGAGAGAGATTTGCTCACAGTGGACACATTCAGACTGAAGAGCCAATCCAGCAGACCTTGAAAGGGGGAGTCAGTGATTTACAGCAATGAAAAGAGGAAACCAAAATAGAAGAGCTGGGCCTCTGGTTCCTCTGCCTACTGGCTAAATATTCCAAGTAAGCTACCGAATATGTCTGGGCCTCAGTTTGGTCATCTGTGAAATGGAGAAAACAGAACCTCTTGTGGGGCTCTCTGGGCACAGAAACAGTGATAAAGCACTCTGTAAACAGTCAGGTGTCCTGGAAACACAGACACCTTATCCTGGCCAAAGCCCAGGCTGCAGCCAGAAAACCATGCAAACTTCTCAGAAAAAAACAGCAGGCATAAATCCTGTTTCTCTCTGAATGCCCTCAAATGAGAGCCCTAACCCCTCGCCACGCTAGAGGATCCACTCGGCCTTCTTTCCTTCCTAGTGTCAACAGCTTCAGGCTCCTGCACCTGCCCTGATGGGCCCAAGGATCTACTTTCCATCTTTTCCTTGCTTCCTTCCTGAGTCTGAAGCAGCTCTTTTTCTACCAGCTCCCAGAGCTCACCAGACATGAGACCCCTGTGGACCACTCGGAAGGTGCCCCTGCTCCACTCGGGGGATGGCTGCTGAAGCCCCTCTGCCCAGTGCTTCCTCTGTGTACTCAAGGAGTCTTCACAACGAGCAAGAGCTCACAGGCTCCTGTGGGTGGTCACCTCCGACTGCCCTGAACCCCGGCAGGTTTGCAGCAAACTGTGAACATGTTCCTGATACCAGACAGGCAGCAAGGCAGGCTGCACACAGCCAGCGAGCCCAGGATCTGAGTCTGGGAACCTCGGAGATGGGGGGCGAGGGAGATGGAGCACGTGGAAGGAGCTGGTGAGGATCCCAACGACCAATGCAGGATTCCTTCAGTATCTGCCTCAAGCTCACCCACACACAGACGCAACGTTCACACTCACAGCCAAGGAGTGGGTGTGAGGAAAGGGTATGGAGCCTGCTGGCTGGGGAAGAAGGGAGGATCACATATGTACAGGGAAGGACAGGGTCTGGCAGAGAAACAATGGGCTGCTGGGTACAAGATGGGGCGGGGGAGACAGAAGAGAAGAAAATGACAAACAGAGTCCGAATGCCAATGTTACTGGGATTTATGACATTATAATGCACTGCACGCTATGGCAAGCTGTTGAAGTACCACTTTGTTTTTCTCCTGAAGAAGGCAACAACTTGCTATCTTGACAAAGCACATACCCGGAAAAGCAGTACAGAATAATGGCTGAGTGCTCAGGCGTCGCAGTATTAAAGACTAGAGTCTGATCTCTAATCCTAGATACTGACTGCGTGACTATGAGGAAGGGGCGGACGTGTCTGCTTCCTCTTCTGTGCAAGAGCACCTACCCCATAGGGTTCTCATGAGGACAAGATGTGATCGACTATCTAAATACCTTTGCATAAGACCAGCCCTGTGGCAACGCTCAGTGAATGTTGCCTGTTGTTGGGCTTACTAAGCACAAGCACCAGCCAAGGGCCCTCGCTGTAGCACAAGCATTCCCTGCAGCTTCCGGTCCAGAGCAGAGCAAGCACCAGCTCCAAAGCTCAGCACAGTCACCAACAAGGGTACACGGGAGCCAAAGGGTGCTCGGCTTTCCTCTCCCAGGTCTTCTTTCACCCAGGACATTGGTCAGGCCTGAGGGCAGAGGAAAAGGACCAAAGAGGAGCAAGAAGTGGGAGAGGAGAGGGAACAGGGACAGGAAGCAAGCCCTGGATTCAAGAGGCATCTCTGAGAACACTCACCGAGTCTGGGTCTCGCTGCTGTTCGAGAAAAGCTGAGAATTCTACCAGGCGAAGCTTGGTTGTGCCGATGGAGCGGCCTTGCCAGGCAGGGACTGAGGGAGCTGGGGCTGATGCAGGCTCGAACCCTGGAAGAACAACCATCACCATCAAAGCCTGGCCATTCGCTCCTGCTCAGTCCCCTGCAAAACAGATGACCCGGCAGGAGAGGCAAACAGCTTGCTCTCCACCAGCACCTGCAGAGGACTCCACTAGCCAATGGCAGGATTCTGGATGAGGACCTCAGAGACAGGGGCCAGCCCAGTGCAACCGCTCCTTCAAGTAAGGTTGAGGGCTGACACAAGACAGCTAATCCGGGACAAAAGGGCCAGCTGGGGACCAGGCCCAGGGTAAGCAAACGGTCAGCAGGGGGGATGCTTCCAGGCTTCCTGTGAGATCACGATGGGTCACTGCACTTCCTGTGTGTGTGTCCATCCTCTTCCTTAAGCCTGGGCACCAGCACTACGGAACCCTCTCTCAGAATGCTCCGTGGTCCTGGAGCCAAGGGCAATGTGTGAATGCTTGTTCAGCTTAGGGCATCAGCAACGGAGAGGAACGATCTTTATACCATGCTTTGAGCATTTCAACTTGAGTGAGTATAAGTGGGGGTGGGCGACAGGTGGGCCAGCCGGATTCGTGTTTCCTGCTTTAGGGGGCTTCCATGGAAACTCTCCTTTAAAGAAAGGTACTAGGAAAGGAAATGCCCTCATCTAAGAAAGCGTGCCCTGAACCCCGTCCACCCTCAGGATCCAGTCTGCCCAATCTGGCCACATTCCGAGGAGGAAAGGGTTCCAGCAACTCCCCTGAGCAAGGAAGATGCAGCATCCTAAGTGAAAGTGATCAGCGTTCCTGTCCCGTTGACAGTCCTGGGAGATGACTGAGGGGAGCCAGCACCTAGCAGGGGACACCCCTGTGACTCCTGAGCTTCAGGCTAACCTTTTCCTTGAGGTGGGGGGGGGCACCCATGCTTTGGCAGTGAGGGGAGATGATGTCTGTGACTGAGATGACCAGGCCTGGCTGTCAGCTGCAAGGGGCCATCCAGGGACACTCACCTGGAATGGGCGCCGTGACTGCTGGCTGGATGGGGTAGGCCTGCTGCACAAAGGGCTTGACGCTAGGGATAGAGAGGTGACAGGGTCAGAAACTGGGACTGCCTGTGCTCGGCTTCTCAGCACCCCTGCCCCCGGAGGGGTCCCTGGCCACAGCGGGTAGCACATCCCAGGCCGCTGTGCCAAGACAGAGGCACTCATTCTCTCCAACTGTGGGAGGGTGCCAGGGTCCATGCATGAGCCTTGTGCCAGTTTAGCAGGACACGCTGAACAGATGTCAGCCCGAGTCCATGAGCTGTGACATCTGCCTCTGAACCTCTCTTATCCCTGCTAAGACTGAGGTCACGGACCCCCATTCCCATGCAAGGTTTGGGACATGCTTTGGGCTCTCCTTCCCTAAGCCAAGTAGTTCAAGTTCTTTTGAGAACATGTAAGTAGGATCTCCTCTCTGTTATCCCCAAATTGTATTCATCTTCTGGTTTACTGAGGTTGCTTCTCCTGCCCCAAGGCTAGCCCCACCCTCAACCCCCATCCCAGGAAAGCCAGAATGAACAGGGTTGTAGGATGGCCTCCACTGCTCTCTCTGGCTCCATGCTCTTGCCCCCAAAGTCACGAGGGTACAGGGTCCCACTTCTGGTTTCTTGCTGGACAATCGCTCATCCTTAGGGTGGGAGAGAGGTGCTTCTGCTTCTTCCAGACCCGAGAGGACACTGGCCTCAGTAGATGGCAAGGAAGGGATGACTTTAGGGAGCCCAGGGCCCCAAGACAGTGTGGCCCTGGGAGATATGTGCCCCGGGCAGGGGGCTGTGGTTGGTGCCAGCCCCTTCTCAGACTTACTCTTGTGAGGATCCTGGCTGCCCTGTTTGTATCATTCCCGGCCAGAACTGGAAGGCAAAACACAGAGGTTTCAGGATTCTGAGCTCACTTGGCAGCACAGTTCGGGGTGTCTACACACAGCAGCCTATGCCAAGGAAGGCACGTCCTGATCACCTGCCAGCTGCAGAACCTTCTTCCCCAGTGCAGATGTGGTCAGCACTGCACTGATCACAGCCCAACCTGCTCAGAAATCCAGCACTGCCCTGGGCTCTTTCTGAAAGTCCTCCTGCAGGAGGGCAGGCAGCCCTGCGTCAGTGTTCTCACTGCACCTCCAGAGACCTGAGGGTACGCAGGGGCTCCCAGACATTCCCACCGACTGCTGGACCCAAGATCCAAGCACCTACCTGCCCGCCACCTCCATCCCCACCTCCACTCTGCAGTGCTCTCTGGCTAACAGCACCAAAGACCCCGCCTGGCAGAGGACAAAGCTCGGAACAAGGGGGCCGGGAGCTCCCAGAAGCAACACAGCCACATCTGCGAGCTTCCCGAGGCCTCTGGCACCTGATGCTCCCTGAGGCTGACAGGCGGCGTGTGCGTGGAAAGAGGAAAGGCAGCCTGTGGGGTCCCACAGCCCTGGTGTCGAATCCCAACAGCAGAGTGCACTGGGCTATGATCAAGTTACGCAGACTCTTGCTGTCTTACTGACAGGCCTCAGCTTTCTTCTCTGTAAAATGCCAATAACAGTAAAAGGCATTTGAAGATTGCTGTGAGGATCAGAAGAGATTATATCATAAAGCTTCTCAGCCCTTGGTAGGTATCAGAACGAAAACACAAGACCTTGCAGCGTGAGCAGCTAGTTGCCAGAAAGATATAAAGTGGCCCTGAGGATAAAAGGACAGAGACCCAGGGCCAGGATGAAGACAATGGGGGCAGAAGAGGTGGCTCACAACCTGCATGGCCACCGTGTGAGTGACACTGAATTCTAGGTCCTTGGGGACTAAGGAGCCTCCCCTGTCCCTCCTTTCTCCTGGTCTTCCTTGCTCCTCCCCTCAGCTTCTCTCTAGCTCCCTGCCTTCCCTCCCTTCTTTCTTTCACCATTTTGCACCCAGCGTCAGTTCAGCACATCTACCTGCACCTGCACCTGACCCAATGAGTAACAAGCACCAGGTGGAGGGGCTTCGAGCCGGCCAGTGCCACCCCCACCACTGCCGGATCCAGCGCATGACTTACCCCCGGCGCCCCTGGGAAGGTTGGGCGTGGAATCCCAGGCAGCCCCAGCTTGTTGTGGATGGCAGTGGCCGAGACAATCTGGGCAGACGACATAGCCGCCATGTGCTGCAGGGCTTTATCCTTCGCAGTCTGATCCTTGAAGGTGACAGTGACACACGGGCTCAATACAGAAGGCAAGGCTACCAGGCAGGTTACATAGGCACAGCCACGAGCACATGGACTAAAATACAGAGCCACAAAAGGGGCCGGGAAAGCCAACATGCACAGATAAATAAACACAGCCAGAAGGCTAGGACACAGCCAGCCACCGTATCTCTGAGCGGTTACTGAGAATACCCAGCGGCAAGGCTTAAAAAAAAAAAAAAAACTTAATCCATTTTCCAACAGAATAGGAAGCCTCAGAAGAGTGGACAACGTATTTATTTTTTCAGCTTCCAGAAGGAAATTTTTCCAATTACTTAACACATTCCACTTGGGGAGGGGGCGGGGGAGGCCTGCTTCTGTGCACACAGATGGGAGGAGGTCAGGCCCGTCCACAGAGCACAGGCATCCCACCTGTCCCAGGGCCGCAGCTCCAGGAGCTGCTGGGGTCATGCGAGGCCTGGCGGCCCTGGCACACACCTGGTGGGGCAGCTCAGCAGCAGCGGGAGAGGGGGTGGGGTGGGGGGTGGGGGGCAGGCGGGCAGGGCACGGGGCCAAGCAGCATGCTGAGGGGCACATGCTTCCTCAGAAACGCCAGCCGCCCCGCGGCTTCTCAGGGACGCCACAGGTAAGGGAGTCGTGTGTCCCCCAAGTGGGTCTTTTCTAGAAAAGCCAAGGCTGGTAGCACACAGCTAGCCAAAAAAATTCTGCCAAGCACAGCTAAAATACGGAGTACTCAGTTTGGTGAAAATACTTACCATGCTTGTTACCTGGATACAATAATAAACAATTTGTTAAAAGGGTTGTGTACAAGGGCAGGGGTATTTTGCTTCTTCAGTTAAAAAATACATATGTGTACAAACACAGACTACTTGGGGATGATACAATGAGCAGGGCTAAGGGGCTTCCTTTTTTTTCAGGAGGCGTGTATGATCCCGAGAGCGGTCTACCAAGGCGTTTAGCAGGAAGGGAACCAAGAACAGAATCACCACCAAGGACCCCAAACTCCTGAGAGCTGGTTCTGTGTCTTTCCCAGGACAGGAGAAATGGACTGGCCCCTGCTTCCTGCCTGGTCCACGTGCAAAGGCTGCTGTGTTCCAGGCCCATAGGCCAACAGCGCAGGAACAAAACAGTGACACTACCTTAAATCGGCCCCTTGCCAGCTGCCTTGCGGAGTTCAGATGGCGGGCATGGGCAAAGGGAGTCAGGCTTAGCTGAGACTGCTTCCATGTTTACAGAGCGAGCCCGGGGTGATGAATAAACACACACAGGGGCCAATACGGAGGGGCCAACGGCAAGAGTTTAAGAGATAATAAAAGCCTACAAAACAACTACTAGGGTTCTAAAAAAAGATCTATTACACCCTCCCAAGTACAAACACTCTGCCCCATAATTGTGAGAAATATCATAGTAATTTTCAAAAAGCTTGCATTAACCCTTGAGAAAAAAAAAAACCCTAACACTAGCATAAGTTTTTTCTTTTTATACATTTCTCTGGCCTGCAAATGAAAAACTAAGGGTCCTCACGTGATAGCTTTTGGGGATGCACAATCAGACTGTGAGCTTCTGCAATGGCATGAGCTGTAGCCGACTGGCCCAGGAGGGCCGTCGAAGCTGATGGGACGACTTGTCCCCAGCGGAACGGCCTGCGTGGCGCTCAGAGCGATGCCTCTGCTCCTTCCTCACACCCTCACACACAGCACGCTTCCGGCTGAGGCACTGTTTGCCAACCTGTGAAACACTCTAACCCGAAAGCTACCTTCCTGAGTTAATTTTTATGATCTGAAACATTTCAGATACTGAAGATGTGCCAGGAAGAAAAAAAAAAAAAAGGAAACCTCGAAGCAGATGGGATTTTTCAACAACCTGCATGTGTGTGCGCACATGCCCTGAAGCTGATCTGAGCCGGACACACATGGATCTCAGCGTCTCAGGGCTTCACCGGCCACCTGTTCCATCCATTCCTCTGAGGATCACCAGTGGACAGAAAACATGCTCAGTCACACCTACTCTGGCACTGTGAAGAAGACCCCAACATCACTTGCATCACTCGCTCGGTTCTCTTGGGACCAGCCCCCAAGCCACTTAACCCAAAAGGAGAGGCCTGCAAGTGTTCTCCAGGTGATTTCTGAAACAGATAATGGCTTAAGAAGGACCAGGGGCACCTTCCTCAGCCCAGAACAAGCCTTACAACTTGTCTGGGGTCCCCACAAAGCTAAGGGAGCCTGGAAAACAGCAGCCCAGACTTCATGTCCGCCTGGCTGATGGCAACTCTGAAGAGTAACTGCAGAAGAGTATATGGGATTGGCTCTATGGATTCCAAAGAAATGCCAGGGAGACTCCCATAGACCTGAGCAGGGGCCACTCGGTGTGCCCAGAGCCAGGCTCCTTCTGTGCACCTGCTCCAGGTGCAAGTAAGTGCCCTGAGCATCCCAACAACTCACTCTGTTAGATTAGGAGCTGCTGGAAACATACCCTTTTGCTGGGCGTATGGAAAAAGAGTTCTCCCAGCTGTTTACAACAAGGCCGTCAGGCAACCTGGGGGAGCACAGTGGCTCTCTCTGCTGTTTATGCCACACAGCTTCAGAACCGTTAACCTGAGGCCTGAGTCTCTAACTTACTCAGCATTCCGGCAGGAACCTAAATGAACACAAATGTCCCAGGGCAGTAGAGCAAACCATAATCTTAGCAACGTGCTCTGGGACAGGAATGGTGCACCTGCTGACATGTTCAGAAGACCTGGCCGTGCCGGACCCTTATGGGCTGTTTTACCTTGGGCAGCTCATTTCTCACAGTCTGATTTTCTTTTGCTACTAAATAAAGAATGGCACTTTGCTCTCTATGGCCATTCTGGCTGTCCAAGTATTTGTGGCCGTGAGAGGGAGTTCCACCATAAACAAATGCATCTTACTACATGCAGATAGCCAAAAACACTACTAGTGAGAAGACAGCAGGATGTTCAAATTGTGCAGCTCTTGGCTGCCGGTCCTAACAGGCAGAAAGCCACGTGTGGAAAGGAAATTTTACCTCAAGTAGTGGTTCTTCCTGCACTTGACCTACCTATTTGAGAATAGGCAATTTTCTGCAAATGGAAGAAAATGTCTATCCCAGTGATTTCTGACCTTCTGTAGTGGAGCTACTCTGACTACTCATTCAATTTTATAACACTGCCCCATCATCCATGACATACATGGGAAAATTACAAGGATTACATTTTTTTGTTTAAAATTGAAAGTAACCCCAGAGGTAGATAACAAGCACCACCAGTGATATCTCAAAATCAGAACAGACAGCATGGCTGCAGACCTACTTATCCTGAGATGGGAATTCAGAAGGATTCCTAGCTAAGAGATTTCAGTGGATGGATCTCTCCGAAAATTGTCATTTTCGGCCCAGACATATATGTGCCTGGCTTTGGAAAAAAATTTTAACTCTAGTAAACTACTTCTCTGCATCACTCTGGTCTAATATTCTGGACTTTGAAATATTCCATTCTATCCTCACCACATCCCCCATGCTAAAGGGGAGGAGGCAGATCGATCCAAATAAGCTTAAGCACATTTAAAAACATATTCCACACTGTCGCACCAAATTTATTCTGTTTTCACACCAACATTTCTAAGATGTGGATGAGATTTTTAAAAGTACATTGTTTTATGTTGAAAACCTGTTACTAATACTGAGTTATACTTTACAGTATCTTAGGTTACAGGAAATGCTCCCAGGGAGTGTGTGTGAACCCACAAACATGAAAAGAAAAAATGTGTCCTAGAAAGAAGCCTGGAGAGGCTCACACTGATTTTTTCTTATTAAGTCTCTCTTTATTTCCAAGAGTGAGACCACAGAAAGCTGAGTGCTTGCAGAGTATGGGAAGAAAATACAAGCCTTGGAGTGGGCACTGTGGTGCAGTGAGTTAAGCTGCCACTGGTACCTGCACTGCATCTCAGAATGCAGTTTCAGTCTTGGCTACTCTGCTTCCAGCCCTGCTTCCTGTTAATGCACTTGGGAGACAGCAAATGATGGCCCAACTACTTGGGCCCCTGCCACCCACATAGAGACATGGACGGAGTTACTGGTTCCTAGCTTTGGCCTGGCTCAGCACTGGCTGTTGTGGCTACCTGGGGAGTGAACCAGTGGATAGATCTCTCTCTTTCTCTCTCTCTCTCTCTGCCTTTCAAATAAATAAATAAACAAGAAGCAAGGAAAGAAGGTAAGGTTGGTCAGTCCCCCTTTTCTAATGGAACCCTAACTCAAGCCCAAGGCCTGCAATGTGGAAAACACAATTGGTACATCTCTCTGCCTGCAGGGATGGGTACTAAGAGACAACCCAAATGCCCAGAGGATGAAAATGACAAGGTGCTGGGACCTCAGGTGACCGTCTCATCAGCTACTGGCCCACTTTCTCCACTCTCCGATTTCTGGCACAACATACTCCCAGTGGCCTCACGGCTCCACCACACACAGACCAGGCTGTGTCAGGTACAACCTTGCCAACCAGAGGCCTTTTACATTGCTGCTATTACTAAGTCAACAGATTTTCGTATTTCCTGAAGCAGAGCCAGGCAGCGGCCACAGCTCTCTGGTCTGCTAACTGTCCCCTTCTTATGGCTGAAACAGACACAATGCTTGGGAAGTGCTGACATGTAACACTCATGACAGGCAGTAGCCCAAAAGCATGGGGCTGGAAGGGTGTGCCCTTAAAACTCCGGGACACCTCACGGATCCCTCCCTGGATATCAGGGGAGGCTTGTCTCCCTCTCTCCCCTCTCCTCCCCACCTTTGGTTAGTCTGAAAAATCAATCAGCTCATATACTCTAAGGCATTAACCATAAGCAAATTTTAAAGGTCACATGCTTGCATATGCAATATATTACAGCTGAAGTATACTAAATCAACATATTCTAAACAGTTAATTCACAGGCCATTTCAGAAATTACAGATATAACTTACTCATACGGAAGTTCACCAATACATCAGAAAAAACAGGTTAAGAAAAAGACCATGGAGAGCAGCGTTGTGGTGTAATGGGTTAAGCCACCATGTAAAAAGCTGGCATCCTATATGGGCGCCAGTTTGAGGCCCAGTTCCTCCATTTCTGATCCAGCTCCCTGCTACCGTGCCTGGGAAAACAGCAGAAGATGGGCCAAGTTCTTGGGCCCCTGCACCTCTATGGGAGACCCAGAAGAATCTTGGGGCTCCTGGCTTCAGCCTGGTATAGCCCCAGCCCTTGTGGCCATCTGGGAGTAAACCAGCGGTTGAAAGATCTCTCTTACCTCTCCTTCTCTAACTCTACCTTTCAAATAAATAAAAATAAATCTTTATAAAAGACCATGGTATTTAAAAAAGACTAGATAGTTATTAAATGTTTTCCTCCAAATAAACTTTTCCCAGCAATAAAAAAACATAGTACAAGGGAGGAAAGGCAGCAATTTGTTTGCAAGATCACTTTTTCAGAGAAAGGCCAAATGCAGAATACTTTCCTAAGAAGTAATTTCACAGATGTTGTTTCTAATCTTGCACTATGTGGATTCACATGACCTCTGCAATTATTAGCCGTAGCCCTTGGGCAGATAAACATCACAAAACTATACGATGGTTCTGCAAAGGATGGAAGGCACTTGAATTTCTTCTAGCCATGATCTCTAATTTGCTTATTATTAGAGAAGGCAGGAGTAAATACAAAAGGGGGCTATTTCAGTCAGGCCACAGCTAATGTGGAGGAGAGAAGGCACATTCATACTTCTCCTGATTTGCCGCTTAATGAGTAGCA